GAGACAGGTGTTTTCTAGATTGTGAAGGTGTTTTTTAACTAGCAAAACAGTGTTTTTTTTTTTAAATGCGCAACCGCACACCGGAGGAAGGAGATGAGGAAGTGCATGCAGACTCCTCCGACCTGCCCACCTTGGAGCCGCTCGCTGCCGATTGGAGGAGAGGCGCAGCCTTCCTGCAGCCCACAGCTCTGCATGCCTGCAGTTGGCTCGCAGACAGGAGGACCAGCAGCCCTGCATCCCTTGGGGACTGGAGCTCGTTTTAGCAAACAGTGCAAAACCTCCTTAGGTTTAGCTGAGAAAAACCGAAAAGGTAACACTTAAACAGGTAGAACTGATCGACACAGTGGCAGGATTCACGCTAGACACAATCCCTCAGGTCCCCAAGTCTGCACGGGGGTGTTTTATTCGTAGTGTCTTGTGAAAGGAGGTGAGACTAGTGGCGTGGGAACTTGCCTGAAGCACCCTTTATTTCAGCAAACCTGCCCCAATGCCATCTTTGTTACTAGCTCGTATTCCCACTGAGAACCACTCAGCCCCAGAGCTTGAACTGGAACTTGATTGCCTGATTGCCATATGTAACCGGTACCTGTACTGCTACAATGGAATTCTTACTGACGGAAAGTTTCTCGATTGTTGAAACAAGTGTAAAAACACAAAGTGCAGACAGTGCATCAAGACAATATACAAACAAACAGTAGACAATGTACAAGTAAACATGTAGACAGTTTGAATGTAAACAATGACTGGAGATGTGCAATAAATAAGAAATCATAATGAGGTAGAAGGTGTAGGTGTGGTCCGAGGGGCATGGCTAAATGTGTTCGCCAATCGCACTGCTTGTGGGTAGAAGCTATTGAGGAATCTACTGGTGAGTGTCCGTATGCTCTTGGATCTCTTGCCTGAGGGCAGTGGGGTGAAGAGCTCATGCCCGGGGCGGTGACTGTCCTCTGTGATGGCCAGAATGTCATTACAGTGCTGCCACCTGAGATCCAGATGTCCTCTTTGGACAAATCCCACTGCCCCTTGACAGCCATGTACTACAGAAGCCGAGGCTGGGGCTCCCCAGAGTTGTCAGTCTGCTCCTGACGCCCCTCTTCATCTTTTGCAACACCTTCGTCCTCACTGTCCAGCCCCTCAGGCCGGACCTGGTCCGGGCTCAGTAGAATTCTCCCCTCTGGCTTTGAGGAGGGTGCAGCCTAGCATAAATGACATCTGAAGACAAGCGCCTCTCCCAATTGAAAATGAGCTTGGACAACAGGTTCTCTTTTTCGGTACGAGCCAGAAACTCCCAGGCCCCGGCAGTTCAGGTCTTAATGGGATTTCTGCCGTGCTCCTGGCTGAACTGGTGCCCCATAATAAGCAGTTCCTTCAGCTCCAGCACCTTTCCAGCTGGTCCACCTGGTAGACAGCCCTGCTGATCAAGAATCCTGACACATTAAAAGGATGAAAGCATAACAGGGAATCCACAGCGCACACTGGTGTCAGACATCAAACCTCTCTGCTCCTCTCTCCTCCCTTTGTCACATTTATGTGTAACTAAATTGCTCCGGGCGCTTTAACTGGAGTTGTGCAGTTTTGACCCGTGTTGTCTCAGCCCTGCTTGAGGTGCTCTTCCTGTTTGTATGCAATGGCATTTTAATGAGTCATTAAAGGAAGCAAATTCTCCGCACCTCCACCACCCAGCCTCTGCTGGAATTGTTAAGCTCCATTCAATTTAATCTTAATAGAAACTGCAGCCAAAGTTTGCCAGAAACAGCCTGCTCCGGGTCCCTGAAAGATGACACAACACACATAGCAATTCACATTAATGACATTTGAGAAGACAAGTCACACACTCTTTTCTCTCGTTAATTCATTGTGAGATTTCACTGCCATTGTCTGTAATTCTTGCTCTGGTGTTATTCCCATTGTTTAGCAGCGACGATGACGACTGCCGTTGAATGTCAATTCCCCGGGCAGATTCCAAGAGCTTTTTAAATGCTCATCTCTTGTTCTCGTGGAAAGAGGTAAAGTGTGGGCTATTTGTTTTGCTCTTGTAACAGTAACAACAAAACAGTAGTTAACATTTCAATAATTGGCTGGTGTACCACAATTTGCACTGTTGCGGCTCTTCCAAACAAAATGAATTACCCATTTTCATGGCTCATTGTCATGGTAATAAATTACAGGTATTTTTTTTTCTGTCAAAAACTGCTTGTGAAACTAGAACACATACATCTCAGGTTAATGCAGCGTACCAAGTGACCCATTATTATGGTGAAACTCTTAAGTGAACATGTAATTTTAGGTCTGTAGGGTTGAAAACAGTGATTTCCAGTCCTGGTCCCGGTGACGAGCTGTTAGTGTTTCTTCCAGACGAACCCTTCATCGATTTAATGATAATGAGATGAATTTGAGCCCCTGCACATGTTGGAGTGTTAATCGTTGTACGTTTTGGAAAGTGAATAAAACTTGACTAGAAACAAAAACGCAAATATTAAATTGAAGCAACGTCTTAGATGAAGAAAGGCTTCAAGTATCTAATAAAGGGGGTTGAAACGAACCCCAGCAGGAGTGTGGGGCTCCGGGACCGGGATGGGGAACCACCAAGTTTAAAGGAGGCCTACTTCATTGCCAGCTACTGCCAAAGGATGGCATTTTTCATATCCATTACCTCTAGAAAGCACAACAGTCATTTTATTTAAGATAGGATAAGATTTTATTGTCCCCCTGAGGGAATTTTTTTATGGACACCCAGCAATCCTGTACATTTAAATAGAATGCAAAAAAGAGAGAAGAAAAACATTGCACATTATACTATTACAAAAGAAATAAGAAAAACATTGCATATCATTGTATTGCACATGTACAGTATAACACATAACAACATGTAACATTTATAACACATCACAAAACATATTGCACTCAAGTGGGTTGTAAGGGTCAAAATTGTGCTTATCCTTGACATTTGCGTTGACAGCTCTAATGGATAGTGGAACACAAGAATGTTTGTATTTGATTGATTTACATTTGGGAACCCTAAAACATTTGCCAGAAGGAAGAAGTTGATATTCAGAGTTGAGTATTTGGGAAGGATCCGATATAATTTCCCCTGCCTGTTTGATTATGGATTTTTCAAAGATTGTCTGCAGGGAGGGGTGCTGTTTCACTCCCATGACCTTCAAAGCTGTCTGGATGAGCCGGGTAATTTGCGATTTAAAATGAACTGATAGATGGCAAAACCACACTGAAATACCATACCTGATAATGCTCTCGATTACAGCACGGTAAAAGAGTAGCATTACTTCCTGTCAAACCCCAAACACTCTTAGTCTTCGCAGGAAATATAAGCGCTGCTGAATTTTGGAGCAAACACTCTCCACATGAGTAGTCCAGCACAGGTTACGGTCTATGTGTACACCTAAGTACTTATATGAATCAACCTGAGTGATAAGTTCGTTGTGGATTACTACCTGTGAGTGATCACCAACTGTTCTGGGATCGAAAGCCAGGACTGGGAACCCCAGCTCCAGCCTGAACTAAACAAAACTCCGAAACAAAGCTGGGCCCTCGCCAGCACTGGGAAGGGAGGTCCTCCTAGGAAAATCGTTGCTGCTGTAAGTCTGCCCGACCAGGAGCAGGAGGTGGCGATTTTCCACCTCAGCCAGAATTCCCTAAAGCCAATACTCTCGTGTGGTGAAACTGTCCTGTAGGAGGTGCTGTGTCTGCCCTTCAGACGTGTTATTAAAGATCCCATGGCACCTGAAGAGTAGGGTTGTTACCCCAGTGTCCTTGCTAAATTCCTCTCCTGCCTTGTACAAATGGCCCCTTAATTCAACTGGTGAAGTACTGTCTAATGACTCTACCTGATCTGCTAAATTGTGGG